CCTAACATTTGCTGCAATTCCTCTACCCAATCATATGAGAAAGAGGGAAAGAAGAAAAAAAAAACTAAATATATATTAACATAATAATGGAAAAATAAATATGTATGGATTTAGATTCCAATTCCTTCCTTTTCAAATACAACCTTCACACCACGATTTTGCTGCCACATCAACTAAACCAAATCTGATTCCAAACCAAAGAAACGTGGATGGCTGTCTTACAAATAAGAATTTTTTTCTTCTTATTTTTAAAAAACTATTAAGTCATTTTTTATATAACATAATATATTTAGGAGGAGTTTGAACAAAGTGAAAATAGAAAGATTGGAAATGAGAAAGAAAAAGAAAGCAGGTGATTTCATTTTTCCTATTTTGACTCAAAAAAAAAAGGGGGGCACAAGCCTCCTCGCCTCCTTCATTTTTCTACAACGTAACCTCCTTATTGAAAATCCAACTAAACTTCACCCCGTGAGGCTCCATCTTCTTGGCCCGCTCGTCAGCTCGCTCTTGTAACTTCCTAATCCTAGGCGCTAACCCACACACAAAATCCTGCGCACGCCTTCCTTCAGCCGTCAACCCCTCCAACTTCTCCAACCTCCACCTTTGGATCAAAGCCTCCAATATGTCAGCATAATCATCGGCCGTATACACCCCTATCCGCTGTGCCACGGCTGAGAAGTGCTCAAACAGCCTCGGGTCCTGGCCGTCGAACATCAAGTGAGCTGGCATTGTTATTCTTTTCTTCATCATGTCAGAGATTGCCAGCATTGCTCCCGTTGGGTCAACCTCGAGTAGCTTTTCGACGATCCTACCGTAGGCGAGCTCATGGCGTTTCTCGTCCGCTGCAATGGTGCCGCAGATGCGTGCGAGAACAGGGTCCCCACCTTCCTTGGCTAACCGAGCCGTGTTGCCGTGGGATACGAACGTGGCTCGCTCTTGGAAAGAGGTGTACACGAAGCCCAAGTATGGGTTGTTCTCTGTTCCAGGATCCTGTCGAAAACAAACGTATGGTGTCACGTGACAGTTTCCACTCGCAATTTGTCAAGCACGTGGCTCTTGATACTTTTTCTTCTTCCTTTTTGTTTCATTTTATTTTTATATTTTCATAAATCAATAATAAAATTTTGAGTTTTTAACCCTCTTCAAGGTTTCAAATATGTTACGCGTTAAATTAAATAGTTCAAATATTATTAAATGGCAACAAGCAAAGACCATAGAATTTACTCCCCCAACCTCCATTCAGCCTATTGCCATAGAAGCTAACCTATGCAACCCAATATCAATCAATAAATTAAAAGAGCAATGTGTCAATATTGATTGCCATCACACCAAAAAATAATTAGCACAGCTGATAAAAATGATTTATATATGACAACTCAAGAATATATATATATATATATATATATATATAAATTAAAAGAATGACTTGAGAAATGAGATAATACTTTTTTTTTATTAGATTCTGATATAAGACATGCTTTAATTGTCACTTGCTAGATACTTATATCAAGAAACACTCCAAGAAGAGAACAGTTAAAAATAGAAAAATGAAACAAAAAGAATGAATAGTTAATACATTCAGTGAAATGAGCGCTAATGGAGAACTCACCATGCCAGTTCCAATCAGATACTGCAGAGTCCTCTCAATCATAAGCATATCAACCCTCCCAGACAAATATAAATAAGTCCTCAACAAATCCCCATGCCTGTTCTCCTCCGCAGTCCAAGCCCGAGTCCACAAAGCCCAGGGGCTCAAGCTAGCCCCAGTCTCATCCCTCACCCCATCCAGCGTATTGATCATGGTCTGGTACGTCGGCAGTGCATCCTCCGTAATCATATCCCCGACCAGCACCACAAAATACTCGTCAGGCAGCTCACCCGTGCGTTCTCTCAGGACCTTCACTTGTTCGTTGAACTCTTCCAATGGCAATGCAGGATCAGGCAAAAAATTCTGGGGTTGCCAGCACTCTTTCACAGGTTTGAGTAATGGTAGCACGTTTTCGGTGGCCCAGTTTTCTAGCGACTTGAACACTTGTTGCTTTTCGGCCGGCATTGAGTGGGTTTTTTGAGGTTTAGGAGGGGCTGCCACCACGGCGGAGATTGGGGACAATCTGACCGCGGAGGTTGGTGGATGGAGGCGGTGGCGGTGGACACGTGGGGTCCATGAGAGATTTCTGCTAGAAAGGCAGTGTGTGTTTGTGAATTGCATGGTGCGGCACTGCAGTTGAGTGTCTCAAGATCTTTGCAAGTGAACATTTGCAAGTAATACTTTTATATATATAGGTCCAAAGACTGAATATTTGACCCAGAGTTTTATTGTAATTACAGTGGTGCCATTTCAGATTATATTTTAGCCACCTGTGAAATTGGTTTTTGTTTTCCCTTTTCTTGACTCGTGGAATTGGTTTGTAACAGAGTAGATTTAGCAACCTTTTGGATTTTTTACTTCTTTTTTTTTGGTTAACTTGTGGAACTGGTTTTATGAGAGAGTAGATGACCAAATGTGCATGTTTTTCTTTCAATATGTTTTCCATATGAAATTTATATGAGCCGTTACTTACTTGTGAAGATAGATTTCTACCTATATCTTTCGTCATTTTCTATAATTTTATTATTTTCAATACTAAAACAATGTAAATATTAGTTAACTTGATGTTGAGAAGGGGAAAGAGTGACTTAATGTAAAAAAGAAGAGATGAAAGGGCATGAAGGTAATTTAAATGGTTAAAATGTTAGGAAGGTGCCAGGGTCAAAGGTGAAGCAGTAATTGGAAAACAAGGGGTGCAGTGGTTTTGAGAGTAAGGAAGAGAAAGGACGACTAGAGATTCTGTGGGTTTAAAACCAAAGTTGTGAGGCTTTGGTGGGCCTGCTTAGGATGCTAATTGACAGCACAGCACATTTGTTTTAAAATCTTAAATAGACTTTTTCAGTCACTAATATTTATGGTCAAAAGGTCAGTGGGGTCTCCCAGGCTTTTGTTAGAATCAGCTTCACCTATTTGATTTGCTCTTAAAAACATGTATTAAATTTTAATTGCTAGCACTAATTCCATGTTATTACTTGTCACTTTCATAGAAAAATATCCAACAAACAACTAAACACTTAGTACAAGTATAATTATCAATATTATATGATAATGATATGATACGATATTAATAACATATACTATATATTTATAATTATATCATATTTGATTAAGTATTGAGAATACATTTTACAATGTGTAATATGTATTTTGTAATACGAAATATATCATATGGTACACATGCTTAATTCTAATTAATTATTAAAAATTTTATTTGTTTATTATTTTTTTGAGTTGAAACATGAAAAATTATTTATGAGTTTCAATTTTTAGATTTTAAACAAAAAGTACTACAAAAATTCGAATTCTTTTTAATTTCAATAAGATAACTGTTTTTTAATTTTTAATAAATAAATTAATATAAAATATATTTTTTGTTCAAAAATATAAATTATTAATGAATATGTTGAGAGTTTAAATTAAAAAAATAACCATATTGTCAACTTATGTTCTATAATCTTTAATTTTGTTCAAAAATATAATATTTTATTTTTTTATTTTATATGAACAAATGTTATTTATAATACTTTCAAAAAAATATATTATTTATAATTAATTTTAAAATTTTTTACTACTTACGATACAGTATTCGATATTTGATATTAAAAAGTAAAATTTCGATATGCGATACATATATCCATTTAATACTTAAAAATATAAAAGATCTAATCAGCTAGAGTTAAAAGGGCACCCGCTGTACGTGCCTCATGTTTAGTGTCCGACATCCAATCCCATTTTCCACACAGTACGGCTTTCACAGGTGATTAATTGTGTAATATAATTTTGGCTTGAACCCGCAACTTAACTAAATTTAATGTCTGAATTTTATTTTTTTAATTGTAATCAATTGAGTTTTTATAAAATTATTTATACCTTATTAAGCTTTTATGCGAATGAAATGGTAACCCTCCGGTTAATTAAATGTCAACGTGGACTTTTTCATATATTTAGAAATTTAAAAACAATTTTTCTAATTTTTATTCTTTTTCTTCTCTTTCATTACTTTTTTGCCATATGCTAAAAAATTTAGTCTGTATTATCAATACCAAAGGGATTAACACGCCAATGCTTCCATTTGCATAATAACTTAATTGGATGTAAATCATTGTATGAAGGCTCATTTAATTGTAATAAAAAGATATAAGTTTAGATGATAAATTGAATTAAGTTTAAGGTTTTTTATTTAAACTTATAATTATTTTAAGGGCATATTTACTTCTTTAAATGAACAAAAAATTCAGATAACAAAGTCATCATATTTAACATTTTTCTTAAATTAATAGTTGAGATATTCAAAAACAATTAATTTAATAATAAGTACGTATCTCTCAATTATGTGATGAATTTTTTACACACTTTTAATATTTTGTTTAGATTAAAAGGTTTGAATGATGCTTGTCCCTTAAGACTTTTATATGCAAAAGAATGTCTATAATTTTGCCTTGTATACTTATATAGATGTAAAATATAATTCAAATACACTAAATTTCTAACTTAATCTAACTAGCGGAAGTCATAACGATAATATTACAACTAGATTTTTTTTAATCAAAATTTTTTTAATTTTGATCAATTAAGAAACATGAAAAATGCATTTTATAACTCTGAATATTTAAAATTTAACGTAACAAAATTTTAGTAAACTTGATTAAAAAGTCAAAGTGTGGCAAACATTGAGTTTTGCTTTAATTAAACTGTGGTGGTCACTGAATTTCAATTACCAAATTAACAATCATTGAAACAATTAGACATTGATGAACAGTTGCAACATCTTTTTATTACAATTCAATAAAATAACAAAGAAATTGAGCATGCACTTACATCACAATTTTCTTTTCTGTTATTTATGTATATTTCACCAAATTGAGTGAAATATTAGTATATGAATATAACATTTTTTATGTACAGAAGAAATCTAGGCCTTATGTTCCAGCTGGTGGTGATCAGAACTTGAAGAAGCTGCTCCTGCCTTAAGGGCCTTGGCATTTTTCTCTGCAGAGTGGACGTGCGAACCTTGTTCAATTTTCTTAGTCTTTACAATCTCTTCATCAATATCAACATCATCCACAATTTCAAGAACCACAGCATGGGGTCCATGGGGACCAGGGACAATAGCCTTCTTCATTTTCAGATGTTCATCAACGTGAACAACATCTGTTTCTTGAACTGTTTTCTTCTTCTTCTTCTTGAGTAAACAAAAGAGAGCAACTGCGAGGAATGCAAGGAGGAAAAGGCCTCCACATGAGACAAACACAACGATTATAACCGTATGGTTACTTGGTGATGGTGCAGGAGGAAGTGGTGCTGGTGGTGGATGTACATGGGGTGGAGGTGGAGGGTGTACATGAGGCGGCGGTGGGGTAATTGGATGATGAGGTGGTGGAGGTGGCTGGAATGGCTGGTGTGGTGGTGGAGGGAAATATGGGAAGTTGAAGTTATTGGGAGAGGCCATTGTGAGATCAGAAGATATACAATATATGAAATTGATGGTTAAATTTTGGTGCAGAAAATGGTAAGATTGGGAGCCTATTTGTAGTGAGAGTTATGCAAATTGTTGGCATTAGAATTCATATGAAGTTTTGAGTGACTTGACTCTCATTCTAAGTTTACAAAGCATACACAGGTTTGGGGGTTGTTTGCATTGTAAAACACTTCTTATACTTCCCTTGTTTTTGTGCTGAAAGTAATATGAAATCCAAATTCTTTAAGATATATTTGGAATCAGAAGGAAGGGTGGTCGCCTGGTGATTGGTGAAGAAAGAAAATGAAATACAAAAGAGATACTACATTGGCCAACAACTCTGTTGAAGAGGTTAAAAACCTGCAAGCCATTCTGTCTTTACATATTGGGAAAACAAGAATTCCTTGTACGTTCGGAGTATTCAATCTGCTGAAGGTAATATTTCTAACTGGTAACATATATTTCGGAATCTGAGCGAATGGTGATTGCCTGATGAAGAAGGAAATGAATTGATAAACAAGGTTGATGCCTTGGTTAAAGCCTGCTAGCCAATTAACTTATTGGGGAAAAAGTATTGCTTGTGTTTACGTATATCGTATTCAATCCATGTGATGTCGCAGCAAGTTGTAAATTTGAGGTCAGTTGTTTCTGCCCTTGGACTTAGGTGATTGGCGAGTTAAGAGTTTGAGTAGAAATTTCATATATTAAAAAAATAAGAGAAAAAGGAAGTAAAATAGGAGGTGATGTCTCTGTGCGTTGCCATGGCGGTTCACAATGAAAGTGGCTACGAGAATGGAAATAGATACCAATGCACAGTTTATAAGAATACACCAAGAAGAAAGGAATTCCTTAGCTAGAGAGAAGAGTCGCCCTATGCAATTCAGAAGCGGACCCTTGACCCCAGCCAGAAAACTAAGAATGACATAATCCAGTATATGGACCTATATTCCATCTTCAAGAGCCGGTCCTGCCGCATACTAGTGCTCAGAAGTTAGGCAGATGATATAGTGGTTTTATTGAGGTCTTGCAGTTCATATATTAATTCCTCTCTCACCCTTTCTTCAGCGAGTAGTAATGTAGTAAATACGCATTAGTATATCCAAAACATTAAAGCTTCCAATCTGACTCAAAAAGAGATATATATTGAATTCAACTAGCATCTTGCTATCATGCTTAAGACCACCATAATGGAAATTTTCATTGATCTTTCTCCCAATAAGGGACTATACTTATACAACTTAGTAAGAGTTGAGGATGGAGGCAGGGCAGGGGCGAGGGACCATCAGAAACGAAAAAATTTCTTGATTTGAAATTTACATGTTTGCCTTGTAATCTACCCCTGGGTTAGGAAAAATTAACTGAAAAGGCAAACTTTTCTTTGTAATTTATGACTTACACAGTTGGACGTCGTTGATGCTGGAAGGCAAGTGAAAGGATTGTAAATTCCAGTTCACTAAGTCGTTAGTCCATTCTTTGAGAGCATCATTGATAGGAGAATTTCATTCCAAGTATCAGGTACTCCAGGTAGACACCAATGGCTACAATCAGGTACTGATGGATTGTCACTCCAAGCGCCAACATGAGCATCACTACGAAATGCCCCCATGGGGGTAACATGTAACACTGCTACAGGAGTTGTCATTTTCTTCACAACGTCAATTATAATGTCAGAAATTCGGCTACGGTCCCTCCCTTTAGTTTTCAACCATGGGCGTCGAGTCACTTTGCAGGAATTACGGTTTCGACCACTGATACAGGCACAAAACATTACTATTAGTTGAGCTCTGCAATGAGGCCAACTGCTTAAAAATCTAGAGAAGATCTTGTGAATTACAAACAAGTAAGAAAATAAAAAGCTTCTTAGGAATTGGAATTTGGCAGGATGAGTTTGCTTGGACTATTGCACATTCTGAAGGCTTTTTCCTTTGTTTTGCTGCTGTTATGCTAAAGGTTGCCTGGGCAGCTTACTTCTATTTATCTGGAGGGAAAATAATTTGAGAAAGCATAGCAGCCATCGTCAAACTGCTGAAAGTCTGCTGGAGTTAATCAGTGCAGATGTCAAGACTCGCTTGTCTGTGGTTGATATAGTAGATTCTTCAAATAACACTAATAATTGGGGTATTGTTAAAAGAGGTGCTCATTGATCAGTTTTAGTTGATCTAGTAAGTGGTTTCTTCTCTTTTGTACTTCTGTAGCACAGTTTTCCTGCTTTCTTCGGATAAAAACAAGTTTTTTATTTATCCAAAAATAAAAAAAATAGAATAAAAATTGAAATTATTTCGAAATTAAAAGTATGCTTTTCAAATGGCAAAAGAATTTGCCAATATCATTCAGCTCTTCCCTTTTTTTTTCACCCAATAATCTTGCAAATTTCCCATTCAACTCACTCTTCTAAATTACCATCAATGAATGACAATGCTATATGCTCACGCATTATAAAGCCAAAGCCTTTTCTAACCTATCCTTGAGGTTATCATTGAGAAGCACTACAATTCACTACTATAATTGAGAAGGCCACAGATATTCCATATATCCCAGTTTTCAGTGAACAAAGAGGCTGCATTTATAATTCCAGCAAGCAAACAACTCCCTGCTTAGAAAATTGTCCTCTACTATCATAAACCAAAGTTTTGTGGTAAATCAAGCAAAAATTTTCACGTCTTTATGGATCTCCCAACTTAGCACCATAAAAACAATTATTATCTTGTTTAGCTAAGATGGAATTCTTGCTTGCTAGAGATCTCGATTCTAACAACAAGACAAACTTATGAAGCTAATAATCAAAAACTGGTAGCAAGTAGAATAACTTACATCCAATGGGAAGATTCAAAAGTCCGGAAGAATACCCTAGTTCTGTTTCTGTTGATTGATGTCTCAACCCAAGCTGCCCATGTTTTTAATGAACTTCTGAAGCCAGAAGTGATCCCCATTCCAAGCTTTAGTGATCCACCTGACTGAAAATAGCAACCCCTGTCTGGACAATGCTGTTAGGAGCTTTCTACTTAAAAACGAATTATGCATATGGATTTGTAATTTAGTCTTAAAAGCAAAAGTCAAAGCAGCTGAATACATTATCAATGTATTCAAACAGCAACAAGAGAACGAGGCATGATTGTACAATAGATTTAAATTCCACATGCAGAATACCATGTTCACATACATTTCGTCAACGTAGAAATAGATGAAAAGATCACAAATCAACAAATAACATTAATGTAAATTTATTATGCACCTATAATAGCAATCTCTGATGCATTCCCCACTACACAAATATCGCAATACCAAAACAAGGATTCAGACAGAAACAGAAATCAAATTTCAATGCATCACATTAGTTAGTAAGATTCATAGAGCTTAGAGCACAAATAGATGCAAGTATAAATTTCAAAAAACTAAATGAAATAAAAATGCAAACCAAAAGGAAAATACTCTTTTAAGTGAGACCCCCAAGGACAACAATATTTGGTAAGCAGTTGAATATAACTATATTACTTACATATCAAAAAGCTTAGTTGGTGTCCACCAATGCCCTGAATTAAATATCAGGAAATCGGAGTCTATCCACTCTTTGCTAATATCATCCAGCTTGTCAAGTCTGACTGTTGATTTAACCCTCTTGGGTGCACGCCTTGGTGCTGGACCAGGCTGAACTAGGAAAACTGATCGATAAAAGTCTACACGTAAATTAAATGAACTGAACCACACCCCTAAAAACCTAATCTTTTTGGCGATCTTATTTCCATTAATTTCATAGACATCCCTCTTATCCTCCACACCTGTCATAAGCAAACATATCATAGACTCCCACTGTGTTCTGCTCAACGAATCACCAACAAAAACAATCCGTTTCCCATGAAGCTTTCCAAGAATCTCCTGCACATTAAATTTTGGAATGTCACAATTCTTAGGCTTCCATCTCCATTTCTGATAACCTCTATCTCTTCTCCCATTAGCCAGGCAATTAAACCCAGGTTCGGCAAAAGGACATTGTGAAGCATTATATAAAGGGTAACTTTCATCGGGGATCCATTTCCCTTCAAAAACATTGCATTTGCCAACTGAATTACTAGACTCGTGAACTCTATAAGTACGAACCGCCGCAGGCTGATATCTTGGAAACACATAAAAATATGCGCATACCGTTGCTAAAAGGAATGATAAAAATAAACCAATAACAACAAGTGCACTGATCGATTCAGAAACCCAAAGCTTACAATGACCCTTTACAATTTTGTTGCTAAAACTCAAAAACCTTTCATGAAATTGCCTCAACTTGCTTAATGAATACTGTTCAACCTCAAAACTACCCGCCATCTTAACTATCTATTCCAAAATGCACACTCTTGACCGAAAAAACCTTCCAACTTTCTTCTGAGATGAACAATCAAAGTAAAGCTAAACCAAGTTAGCAGCATTATAACATAAACTATGCAATTGTCCAAGATCCCACATTTTCTCAAGCAAATAACATAAAACAAAAACCTTTTTTATACCAACCTTTACAGATGTTTCTTCAACTCACCTCGGCATGGCAGGGAGCTCAAAGCTTTTGGGATGTAGGAGTAGCAAGCAAGGTGGTTGAGAATAATGAAATAAAGAAGGTGAGGGTATTTTGGGGAGCACGATGTAAGAACTAAAACACGGCGAAAGAGTAAAGAGCACAAAGGTGAAGTTCGTTGAAACGCGAATGACACTAGTTGTCGGTGAGACGGCAACAACAATCAGATGAGCTCGTCCTCTACGGAACGGATGACGTGTCTGCATCCAAATTGGTGAGTTTGTTTAAATGGTTTTCTTTTTACAATTAATTAAAAAAACCTTTATCCTAATAGATTGATAGTATTTCCTACATATATAAATATTAAAAATATTGTAATAAATATTCTATTGATAAATTATTTTATATATGCTAAAATCTTTTAAAATGTGTCTGGAAGAAAATTTTTGAAAACCAACTTTGCAAATTTTACAATTCTTTTTTTTTTTATAATTTGAGTATCAAATTGTAAGGCGAATACTTTGATCATTAATTTCAAAAACTGAATTAATTAAAATTTTTATAAAAAATTTATGAAAATCAATTAAATTATAATAAAAGATAGAAAGTAATCGAAATTAGTTATCTCATTTGATTCGGTTGGTTATTTTAGTTGGAATGAAAGTAAATTCTTTTTATATTTTTAAAATATTAATAATTTTTTTACCTATAAAATATGTTTTTTGATGAATATTTTATTTAGATATATTTTTACTATCTATTATTATTAATGATTGATTTTTTTTATTGATTCAATTGTGAATTCTAGACATAAAAAAGCCAATCCAAATAATCAAATATACATTCTTCTCTCCTAACTCATTTATGTCAAAATAAAAAAAATAAATTAATATTTTTTCATAAAATTAAGTGGGAATACTTCATTGCATATGAACTTTACAAGATACTCCAGTGTGATAGTAGAACAACACTACTCTGAGAAGACAGGAGCCTTCATAGAGAGACTTGTATACAAATCTGTCAATAGCATTCAACCGGTTGTTTATGGGATCAAACTATCATCAACCCTAACATATACACTACACAACCCCAGCTTCAGCACATGGCAAGCATGATATCATGCCCAAAAACACTTGGTAACTAGTAACTACCCTGTAGTGTACAAGAAGGACCAAAACAATCATAAAGGAGCCAGAATTTCTATCAAAAATAGAAACATGTAACAGCATGCAAATCCAATTGCCCATATCCACGCCTGCTCAAAGGAGTTCAGCGAATTCAATTGATTTCGATCAATTATTTCGATTTAAAGCCATTAATACTGACCCCTAACAGATTATATTTTTTGATTGAGGTCTGGCAAATTATTTACAAGATCAATTCATATTATGATACGACAAAGCCTGTGACTATGAGATAGATTGCAAACACAGCCATATGCCTAACACCACCCTATTGTTGCACGCCCAGGTTAGGAAACCAAAGCTGAAATCTTACCACAATCAGCTTTACATTCAAGCTACCATAGCCTCATTGCCCCACTCCTCATACATACTTCAATTAGTATCACTCAACTGACTCACCCCAACCTTAATGCTGACTACATGAATTCATAGCAGTAAGTCAATAACATTCTAAAAGGAAAAGGATGTTTCAAATAGTATGATCATGTCGAAAAGAATAATAAATTAACTTGTTTTAGGCAAAAAGCAGATATATTCATCGAAGCAGCTGATTAAAGTTAAAACACTTTATAACGCACCCCTCCAATGTGCATTTTCTTATGTTAGGGGCTCCTAATAATTTATTCACACAACTGCATTTTCGACCCTTATTGATGCTGTGTTCAATCAACAGCTTTGCAAGGGTCTTTCTAACCTAAACAAACGTTAATCAGTGTGTTCTATGCAACTACCAACAATACCTCATTTGCCTTGACACCTCAGGTAGGGTTCCGTAGAGCTTCTTCCCGGCAGCCATTTCCACTGTCAGACTTCTTCACATTGATATCTTAAGAACTATACTGACTGAACATGTAAAATGTTGTTAGGTTTCCTAGTGAAAAAACAATTTTTTTTTCTAAATTGTGCTTCTCTTGACATGCAAAATAGGAAGCTAGATCTGCTCTCTGGAGAGAATTAATGCTGAGAAGCCAACTACATTGGCATTCAACTCAAAAGGTGAATTTTGCTCTCTAGGCCTGCCGCATAAAGTGAATGTAGTAATCCAGCTAACACTCCCAGTAACTTGAGTAAGTATATTGGAGGCAACATATAGGATTCTATACATCAGCAACAACATGACTGTTGGAGGAACTCATGCAAATTTAGACCTCTGAAAATACCTTTCATGCCTTCTGGGCCACAGCCTTTTCGCCAAATGGTTTCCAAGCATGTTATAGCCAGCCTTTGGCAAGAACATGTACTGAATAGTGAAGATTTTCTCACTCTTCCTCATGCAAAAATGAATCAACTTCAGGAGCATACCCTTCTTCTCTCATCAATGCAACCAAATCCTTCAAAGTTGCTTCAATTTCATCTGCTTTAGGATGAGCCTTATCTCCTGCAATGAACAAATTTGTCTTCTGTCCCACAACAATCTGGCTACATCCAGGGAACTTCTGGACTCCTTTTTCCCTCATTGCCCTCCTCAAAGCATTAACCTCATCCCAGTTTCCTGATGCAGCATAAATGTTAGAAAGCAGCACATAGGGTGATGAATTTTGAGGTTCTAATTCAATCAATTTCTCTGCAGCCCGGCGTCCCCTAATCTCATCTCCATGTATTCTACAAGCACCAAGTAGTGCAGCCCAAATCATGGCATCAGGTTCCAATTTTAGACTGTCAATGAAATCCTCCGCTTCTTTAAGAAACCCCCATCGTCCAAGAAGATCAACAATGCAGGCACAATGATCTACTCTTGGCTGAATCCCATAATTAACCATCATGTCAAAAATTGACGACCCTTAGATACCTTTCCTGCATGACTACAGGCAGTAAGAACACCAAGGAATGTTACATCATCAGGCATTACATGTGTTTGCTTCATCTCAACAAATATTCTCAATGCATCTTCTGCATAACCATTTTTAGCAAAACCAACTATCATTGAGTTCCAGCAAATGACATCATTCTTGCTGTTCATTTCCACAAAAACTTGTGCAGAACAATCAACTTCCCCGCATTTAGCATACATGTCTACAAGGGCACTAGTTGTTAACTCATCTAAGCCATAACCAGTGTGATAAATGAGAGTGTGGATCTGTTTGCCTTCACGCAAAGAAGATAAAACAGCACATGCTCTAAGGACACTAACAAATGTAGCTTGGTCAGGTAAAACATTGTAGCTACGCATTTCTTGAAAGAAGTGTAAGGCCTCCTCATTGCAATCATTCTGAGTATGACCTGAAACTAATGCAGTCCATAAGACTGCACTTTTTTGGTCTTGAAACTCTGCAAACAGATTTCCTTGCTCTGTATTTCTACGGGAGTTCATGTACTGCCAAGAAGAGACACCCCAAGAATTCTTCATCATACAAAAGGCCCCTTTTCACTTAAGACAATGGATTTGCCTTCCAACATTCAACTGATGAGGTTCATTACAAGCCTCTAAAAGGCTAGCAAATGTTACTTCAGATGGTTTCAATCCATTGACCTGCATCTCTCGAAATAGGATCATTGCTTCATCTAGATCTTTTGGTGCATATCCAGCAATCATAGCATTCATGGAAGCCACACTCCTTCAGGCATACAACAGAGGGCTTTGCGTGCATCCCCAATTGCCCCACACTTGGCATACATGTCAATAAGGGCACTTCCTGCATAAAGGCTCGTTTCTAAACAAGATTTGACTGCAAGACAATGGAATTGCTTCCCTTGCTCAAGACTTTGAACATTTGCACAGGCACTGAGTATACTGGCCAAGGACACTTCATCAGGCACAATTCCACACGAAATCATTCTTTGCAACATGTTAAACGCCTCAAGCTCATCCTTCTCCTGAACATATCCAACAATAATTACATTCCATGAAACATTATCTCGATTCTTTATGATCTCAAATTGCTGCCTTGCTTCCTTTAAAGCCCCAGATTTTGCATACATATCAACCAATGCATTTGCCACAAACAAATTTGATGCAAATTTGTTCTTGATAATAAATGCATGGAATTGGCGACCTGTTTCTAGACATTCTAAGCAAGCACATGCACTCAAGATACTAGTATAGGTAAATTCATCAGGGTGAAAACCAGACCCCTTCATCTGTGAGAACAATTCAATGACTTCGTCTGCATACCCATTTTGTGCATAGCCTCCAAGCATCGCATTCCACAAGACAACATTTTTCTCATCTAACCCATCAAATACTTTCTTTGCAGCATTAATTTTCTCACACTTAGCATACATACTAATTAAAGAGCTTCCCACATAAACATTAGAATTTAACCCTTGTTTAATTGCCTCAGCATGAACTAATAAGCCAAAGTGTAGAGCTGCTAGACTAGCAATTGCACTCAACACACTTCCTAATGTGGATCGTGTGGACTTAACCCCAGATGCCCTCATATTTTGAAAATATGCAATAGCCTCCACCTCATAACCTCTCTTGGTATGGCCAGAAATCATCACATTCCATGCTACAACGTTTGGATTAGGCATCTGGGAAAACAAGGCACATGCATCATCAAGTCTACCTAAGAGAACAAATGCATTTATGATAGTAACAAAGGCCACCTGATCAGGAACATGACCAACTTTCTGCATGCTTTCAAACACTTTCAGCGCCTCCTCAGGCAAACCAAACTGAACATAACCTGCAATCATCGATGTCCAAGAAACTGTATCAAGATCCATTGATCCATCAAACACCCGCCGAGCATCAGTCACATAATTACACTTAGAATACATATCAATGAGAGCACCCTCACAAAAAGAACTCGCTTCAAGCCCCAATTTAACAATATAACAATGCACTATTCTACCAAATTCAACATCTCTCAACCTAGCACAAGCAGATAAAAGAGTGGCAAGTGTAAACTCATTAGGCAATACCCCACAATTCAGCAATGACCCGGTTCTCTTAACAACTTCTTCTACCAAACCTCGATTTGAATACATAGAAATAACCGAGTTCCAAGCCAATACATCTCTCTTTTCAAGGCCGTGAAACGCCTTCTCAGCAGAG